GTTGGTGATGCACTCGTGAGAGTCAACCTGTGGCCAGGGCTCAGGATGCTGTTCCACCAGAAATGGCCAGCAGAGCAGTGCTAGCCAGGTGTGTATGAGCCCACGGGCTGCCTGTGCAGTGGCATGGACAGATATAGAGCTCATGTATTTGTGCATGTGTGCCCCCAGACACAACGCTGATGAAGTTATTCCTCCAAGAGAAAAGTAGCTAAGTGTATTATTTTCTTCAGTCTGGTTGCTAATTCATTCCGGATATGTTAAACAACATAATTAAACACACACACACACATGTTAAAAACTCTTGTTCTCTGTCAGAAGAGAGGGAACGCGTGTCAGACCCAGCCTTCAAGCTCTGTTAGTTTTAATTTGAGTTTTGGAATTAGTAATCAGTTTTGCTGGAACACTGTTGCAAGAAATAGATCTTAGCATGCATGGGGCCTGGGCACAGTTTCAAATGAGTATTTGTTAAGAAGAAGCCATTCCCTTGTCGTGTTATGGTACATTACATGAGATTTATTTCCATTGTATTAAAAAATGCAAGCCCAAGGGGAATGTTCTCTCTGCTTTTTGGCTGAGGGTGATTTCTGAATTCCATCTGATTTTTTTTTGTGGTGTCTTTAATTAAAACAATGAGATGCAAATTCCTTATATTTATAGGCTGTTATTACAATGCCAGGAGGCCAAGTGTCTTGGAGCACCAAGAAAGGTGATGACAATGAGTGAAAAGTGTGTAAGGTGAGGGTGGGGGCTCTATCATAACTTCAGTGAGCCTGGCCTGTGTTTTTCCATGTGTGAGTGATTCACAATAAAAATCTGAAGCTTTGCTCTTACTGGAGCCATGTGCTCTCTTTGTACCCCAACAAGAAGATATAGATTCTTCAGATAAACTTGTTTCATAGGAAAGAGCCCTTTCATCTACTCAAAAATAATGATTAAACAAAAATTTTAAAAAGTCATGGCATCCGGTGGCTTGAAAGCAAAACTAAGTGACTTCAGGCTAGAATTTAGCAGAGTGAAGTTAATTGACTGTAGGAGTGGCTTGCTCAGGGCTTGTGGTAGATTTTCCAGTGCTAATTAGTGAGAAGGTACATCTTAAATGGAAAGCAGAAGCTGGGGGCAGGAATCGCTGGATGAAGTGCAGCAGCACCTGTCATGCAAGAAACCAGAAGAGGTGATCATGGTGATCCTTCTTGCACTTAAAAGTCTGCTAATTCAGGGCTTCACCAAGGGGCTTCTCTTTGCATAAGGAAAGGGAATTATGGCTCAGGACAGTTAATTTTGCTTTTGTGAGGGCAAGTGTGAACGAAGGGTGAAAACCAGCATGGACCTTGAGTTATATTTTTATCCAGCAACACATAATTTTCCATGACAAAAGGTTCTGGAGGAACCAGGGGGCAAGGCAGCCTGCATAACCTTCCTGCTACTTCTCCAATCTCTGAAAACCACAACAGAGCTTTTTAGTGAGAAGATCCCCAGGAGGTGGTGCACATGTCTCTCTCTCTGTACATCCATGTGGCTCTGGGAAGCACATCTGAAAGACCCTACTCTGGTTATAATAAATTGTTATTTTAGAGCTGTGGTGCCACTGGCCATCCAGACATACAAATTTTCTCCCTTTCTGTTCCCTTCTCCCACTGCTGTCCCAAAAGGCCTCCCACCCCACAGTCCAGCATCTCCATGGATGTTATGCTACCTCCCTTTGAAACAAAAGGATCTTTGATGGCAAGAGTCCTGCTGTGCTCTTTGATGGCTGCAAAGGGTACAGAGTCCACAAACGGGAGATTTTTATCTCCTGTGTCCTTCCCTAGCTGTGCCAGCATATGTATTTGCAGGTCTGTCCAGTCTGGGCTTTCATGTGTGAAGTGTTCTCACTTTTCCTAAGTAAATCAAGACAAGTTAACCAGGTGGAATAGCTAGAGATGCCACACAATGACTGCCTGGTTTAAATATGAATCTAAAATTTAGATCTGTGTAAACACAGGCCTCCATAATAATTACTGAGTCCAAAATAACCCAGACCTTGGTGTACACTCATGTGAACAAGTAGTACAGGTGGGATCTAGGTCTGAATGTTTCAGGTTGGACTCATCTCGGTGCTGTAGCTTTAGGGAGTCTGGTGGAGCATCTGTGTAAGCTGGTAGGAAGCCACCCCCTTATCTGACTGGGGTCTTTGGAGCAGATCCCAAGGAAAGGCAAGTCTCTGTCTTCTTTAGATTTCACATGGAGTGACCATCAAGCACTTGCTTGCAGAAAAGAAATAATTTGAAAAATGCCCTGGACACAGATGTGATCTGTGGCCAGAAGAGTCCTGGTACCTCTGAGCAGCCTCTCTGCTCACTCCTCCCCTGTGTCTGCAGCTCCTGCTCCATTCCCTACGCTCACTTCTGTTGCAGATGTACCTCAGTGCTAACACAGCGGCTCACTAACAGCTTTACTCCCTGTCCTCAGGGAAGACTCAGAATTGAATTTGTAGCAGTGACAGCACTGGTTCAAGATAAACCAGTTGGGATTTGACGACTAGTCTTTCTGCAGGCATTTCCAGCTAATAAGGATTTTGTCACTGTGACTGCCCTCAGCTTTGCAAACTGCTGCTCTACAGTCCTCTTGGGGTGGGGGGGAAGGTGCTTTCCCACACACTACTAAGACACCACTTTGGATTGAGAAACTAATGGCAATCCATGTCTCTCCTTCACAGGAAAGGGGCACAATGCTCGCCCCCAGTTCTGCTCTGACGTTGGAGCAGAGCCAACAAACAGGGGCAATGGGAAGCCTCCAGAACCTGAAAAAGTTTAATAACCAGGACTTCAACCACCTGCGAGCCCTGTGTCTGAGCCAAGGACTGCTTTTTGAGGATGCCACCTTCCCCGCTCACGTCAGCTCCATCGGTCTCAGCCTGCTCCCAGAGGATAAGCTGCGGCGAATACAGTGGAAGAGGCCAACCGTGAGTCATGGCAGCTGGGGTCTTTCGTAGCTCTGCTGCTGAATGCGAGCGCTGATGGCCCCGGGCTGGAGCCCTTCACCCTGGGGAAGGACATCTGTGCTAAGCAGGGAAGTAGACCCCCAGGGGGACACTGGAGCATAACGCTGCAAGGAAGGATCCTTCCTTTGGGACGTGTGGAGGGAAGATAACCTCTGTCACATTAAGGATTTCATTGGGTGCATTTTTGTAGGAAGTGTGTTTCCACCTGTGAACCTGACCAGAACTAATGTTCCCACTTTCATCCGCTTCTAGAGGACTTTGTGCAAATCTGAAAAGCTGTAAAATTCTATTAAAGATCTCTGATTTCTGTAAACCAAGCCACTGACTCAGCAATACCTATTTTAAAGTAACTGGGACAAGGGCATGAGATGAAGTATGTTTGTCTGCTGATTCCCAGTTGCAGTTTAATAGGCAGTTGTCATCATCTGGCATATGGATGTTTAAATTGGGAGGTGGAATCACATACTCAGCTCTTTTATCCTAGGACCTATTTTAGGGAAGCTTTCTGTGGTCAGACTGCACTGTGTAGCAGAGTGGTGTATTATTTGCTGCTGGTGCAGATACTGGACTAGCCACGTGCTGCCCTTTCACCGGGTTTTGCTGAGCACACCATCAGTGCCTGGTGCCTTTGGCTTCCCTGGGCTAGGACAAACCTGTGCATCTCAGAGGTTTAGGTTGGACGTTAGGAAAAACTTTACCAAAAGGGTTGTCAAGCATTGGAACAGGCTGCCCAGAGAGATGGTGGAGTCACCATCCCTGGAGGTATTTAAAAGATGTGTAGATGAGGTACTTAGGGACATAGTTTAGGAGTGGACTTGGTAGAGTTAGGTTGATGGTGGGGCTCGATGGACCTAAAGTTCTTTTCCAACCCAAACAATTCTATGATTCTATTATCTCCCTGCAGGCACCCCCCAGGGTGCAGAGACAGTAACTGTGAGACTGTAGAGACAGGAAAACTAGAAAAGATTTATTTGGTTGATGGCTGTAAGTAGGGCAATGAGGGTATGCTGGAGCTTGGTGGTGCAGTGGCCTCGGCAGAGGCTGCTGCTAACATGGATATTGAAAGTCATGGTTCACAGAGGGGAAACATGCTAAGCCTGGAGACCTTGCATAGCTGCTAAGTGTGGGTGCCTGAACAGAAAGGTGGGAAGCCCCAACTCTTGTGTAAAAGGAATGTGATGTGGAGAAGTATCAGACAGAGCAGAAGCTTCAGCCTGGACACCAACAGAGCTGTAACTACAGTGTTGCCATGATGAGGATGGGAGCCAATGGATTGAACTTCTCACTGCTCACTGCTGCATTAGGGCCTGAAAATGTCAAAGAAACTGTGTGTACGGTGGTAGAGGCGCTTCCAATCTGGGCTGGTGCTTTAGAGCATGGATTGGTAGATGTGCAGGTGCTGGGTGCAGATATCTGGGTGCCCTCTGTGGAGCCGCTAGGAAGGGATCATTCTCTGCAGAAGCGGCTCCATAACACTGGCTGAACATCTGGGCTTCTCCTCAGGTAGCCTTTCTGCAAATCTAGGTCCAGTGAGAATGCAGCTGGTGTTGTGTTTTTCACACCAGCACTTTGCTTACAGTTTTGTAGCCAGTGGGGATAATATGTCTTGAAATAGGGGTTATAGTAGAGAGTAACTAAAAAAAATGCGAAGAAGTTAGTTGCCACCATTTCCAGACTGAGAAAGACAAAGATATGATAACTAAGCATTAGACTCACAAAAGACAAACATGGATATTAGAAAGGACTCTCAGGGGCTTTTTAAAGATGAATAAACTGGAATAAAATGTTATGAAACAGTTCTGTTAAGTATTAACCACCCTGGTATTTTTACCATCTGGGAGCAGCAGAGAAGCATAGGATTTCAAAAGCATGCAAACTGACTTAGAAATCCAAATAGCACTAATTTTGAGGCAGCAGTGTGGGATTAACATCTTTTCTACTTGAATATCCTAAGACTTACTTTGTACTTTGACGTACCTTACCAAAAGCAGAACCTGCTGCTGCTGGTGCTTGAAGTTTGTCAGGTGAGACCAGTATTGGAGAATCTTTCTGTTTTGCTGAATCCATGAAGATTAAGGTGGTGCATGAAAGGTAGTTGTTTGTTTGTTTGTTTGTTTGTTTGTTTTTCAGCAATTACTACACAGTTCCCAGCATCACCCCACCAAATTGACTGAAATCAATTGCTTCCAACAATTTTCCAGGGTATTTTCAGGAAAGAGCAGGGTGAAAATTTGTTGGCTTCACCAGAGCTCTTCTCCAAAAAATGAAACTGTACACTCATGGCCCAGGTTTCACCATGCAAACACTGGAAAGCCTTTTCTTCCCTTATAGAGGTTAAGGCAGCATCACCAGCTGCTCTTTTGGGACGTACTCAAGGTACAAAAGCTGACTTAACTAGCTTGTCTGAATGAGAAGCTCTGGATGTCAGTACTGAAGAATGTTTCATTTTAATTTTATCTTCTCAATTTGACCAAAATTTCCACCTGTATCTGTTTCCTGCCCAGCCAATTCTGGCTAGACAAGATGCAGGATAAAAGGCAATGCTGCCAACTGTCTGGGGACCCCAACCACAAGTTCTGAAACATCACCGCAACACCCATGCTGTGTCATGGTGACACCAAAGTGTGGCCCCTGCCTCCTGGCAAAATAAAGCATGGGCAGAAGTTGTTACTAAATAGCAGTGGTTGCTTTTCATTTACAGAGCTGCAGATGTTTTATCCAGAGTTTAGGAGATGAATAAAACTGTATTTGCATTTTGCATGTCCTGAAAGGCCAGTGCTGCATCTAGTTGCCTCTGAGAGTTGGTCCCTGGGGAGGAAGAGGGAAGGCTGCAGTGTCAGGAGTCAGAGTCCTCCATTCCTCAAGTTTTTCAGCTGGGCACTATTCACATATGCAGAAGCGTTCATAAACTCTTTGTTCTTAGGTCATTGCAATGCTAACTATAAGGATACATGTGGCTCAGTGCCCATGTTTTTAAGCTACCTAAGCTACTCGAGGAAGAGATACCTGTCATTTCCCCAAGTGAGACTGTTTCCTACCTGAATACATCTCCCAGAGGAGCGTAGTTGCATCCTGAAGACAGAGCATGGCCAATTTAACCTATGTCTGTATTTTTCTCAGCCTCCACCATTAGCTCCCTCTGACATTAAAAAAAAATTGACTGGAAACATCTCTGTGACAGAACTGGTATTTTGGCCCTATTAATCCCTCAGCCTCCATTTTCTGAGTCATATAGTATCTGGTTATTTAAGTGGTAGATAGCAATTATAAGTGCTGTCATTGTTCCAGATCCAACTGAGCAGTTGTGCAACATGCTGCTTCTATTTTACCTTGTACATTGTCAAGAGAATTACCAATTGCATTCAGAGTTTGGAATCTTCATATCTGGGGGTAATGTGTGAAGCTGAGAGAAAACAGTTTGATTTAGTCAGTGGTGACAGACAAAAACAACTTATTTTGACTTGTGAAATGAGCTGATTTAGTATGGGAGTCCCTGAATGGGGAGATGGAGCAGAAGCACCAAGACAACATTTGCAGTGTCACTTTTCCTAACTCTGCAGTAACTGCAGTTTCCTATCAGATGGTTAATGCTCCCCAGGCCCCCAGTCTGTGTCTGTTGAAACATATGCAATTTGTAACAGAGATTTTGCATGTGGTACTTCAAGCATTAGTAGAGGTGGGGCTGAATGTTCCCTGTCTAGCAGGAGCTCTACAGTTAACTGGTCTTTTGGTTCACCCACAGTTTTGAGAAATTGAAGGCAGGCTCTATTTGAGGCAGGACAAAGTATTTCCTGTAGCTGGGCTTTTCCAATGATCAGTCAAAGGGAAATTTTCCTTGAAGAGTTACATCAGATGTTTAGAAAAACTTTTTTCATCATTTGGTGCTTTTCTTCACACAACAAATTGAGTGGAACAGAGGAAGTCACAAAATGATTTGCTGTTCCTGAATATGCGTTTTTAATCAATTAATGTTTAAGCTAAAGATTTCAGTCTGTTCTGATCATAACGCATAATACTATACAGATGCAAAAGGAAACTAAGTTAGGATGATGCGAATGATGTGAATTGTGGTGGTGCTGAATGCAGAATGCTTTACTTTTGCTAACATTGGTTATATTTGCAAACGTGGTGTGTGTGAGAGGAGAGAGATTACAACGTATGGAGCAGTGCCTTGGTCCTGCACAGGGATTGCCCACTGTTGTACTCCGTATGGTGCCCATTATAAACATTAAGGATAGTCTCTGATCTGTGGTGTTTATGCTTTAAAAAAAGGATAAAAGGGGCAGAGGGTGAAGCTACCAAAGAAGGGTGTTAAAGGCCCCAGTCTGCTGCTCCTGCACTGCTCACCCGTTGCCTCTTGGGGAACCTCTAGCTCCTTTATGGAGTGAGAGATTGCTGAGCAAGGGCTGGTGTAGGAGGGTCTGACCCTGTTTAACACAGGCTGTGATGTGTGTGAGACAGCCACAGAGAGGGAAAAGCTGCAAGATGGCCAATGGAGGTTTGAGGGTCAGCATGAGAGAAATCCCTGAGTGCCTCTGAGGTGCCTTGTAGGAGGGTGCATGGGGAAAGGACTGTCTGAAGTAGCTGATGTGATTTTCCTCTGCATCATCACAGTCTGTTCATAGCATCAGGGCATGGACTCCCTGGGTATTTGATTCCTGTGTCTGGTCTCAGGGGATGGGAAGAGTAGGGTCTAAAAGAAGTCCTTGGATGGAAGCTACAGAAAAGAGGCTGCTTTAGTGTGAGCTTGAGCAAAGGCTACACCTTAGGGGTATACCTTGTTCCTTTAGCAGAGACTAAGACAACCGTGCTACTGCACTTAGCATCTAAAAAGCATTGGGAAAATGATACGCTTTGAGCCAGTGCTTGTTTGCTGGGAAAAGTGATTCATCTTTTGATTTAGTAATTTTGCAAAAGGGCTTGCTTACATTTTTTCCTCCCTTCCTCTGTCAGGAAGAAATGTGGATTGTCACAGGAGCTGCTTTAATAAAGCAAGTTAGGGGAAATGTGTGGTGATGAGGGATAGTGCTGTTCCACACGACTTGCAGGTCTGTTACCTTGGGGCCATTTTCTGGCATGAGCCAAAGCTGCTTGCCAGCTGTTTGTGGTGGAGCTCACAGCTTCAGTATTTTCCAGGGGCCACAAGGCCCTTGGATGCTGTTCAGTATTTCTCCTTGATGAAAATCAAAATCAATTCACCTTTTTTTTTTTTTTGAGTGTACGTGTGCAATCAGTGTAATTGAATGGGAGCAGTGTTTCCAGGCTGCCATTGTCTCAGTCCTTGCCTACTCAGCTGATTGCACCTGACCTCAACTTCAGAGTTCACATCTTTGGGCTGAAGAAGCTGCAGTGCGTCACCATTTATTACATTTGTCTTTCTGCACAGGCTTTAGATGAGGAGGGTTTATTTGCATAGTATCTCTGAGCTGTTGCTTTTGAAAAGGGCTGGTTGTTGGGGGGAATGCATGAAACCTGAGTTGAGGGGAAAGCAGTGCTTCTGTGATGTTCTGCTGACTCACCTGCTTCCCTGTTTCTCAGACTGGAGAGTCAGCTAGCAGGATTATGTGGCTGGTGTGGCCACAGGGGAATAGCTGGTGATACCGTGCCACTTTGAAAACTTAAGCTTCTGCTGTGTGGTCCAAGTGGGAGGTTTCAAGATCTCTAAGGAAACTGCCTCTCAAAGGCAGAGGGTAGATAGGGCCACCTCCCATGTTCACCTCCTTTGTATTTACTTCCTTTGTTTGCAGTTGTCACTGGTTTTTAGCACCCAAGCCACACAAACCAAACAGGTTGCAGGTAAAATTAGAGGTGGTTTCTGCTTCCGTTGACTGTTGGGCACCAGTCTGTCCTCCAACAGGACTTTGCTCTCACATTTGTGGGTTCTCCATCTGTGCAGGGTCTGAGTACCTCATTGCTCCATCGTGAGAGAGAGCTGGAGCAGAGCAGGGGTTTTCAGCCACTGAGGTATTTGTGTTGAACACAAGCAACTAGGAATTGAGTTATTCTGCTGTAAAGCAGGGAATTAAGTTCTGGAGGTGCAGGGAAGCCCCTTGAGGTTTGTCTGGTTTTTCCATCTAAGAGAATGTCAAAGTAAAACAGAATACGAGTTTTTTTTTTTTTTTTTTTAAAAAAAAGGTAGATTCAAGGAAACAGATGTCCAATTCCCTTGAGGTCTAATAAACACAGAACTGTGGATAAAGTCTCCAGCCTGGGAAATCCTTTAGCCTCCAGTTGATGAAGAGTCAGAGGATGTGAGAAAATTTTTGCTTTTGGTGTAAAACCAAAAGGTTTTTTTATTACCCTCCCCCACCCTTATCTGCTGGAGAAAAGTAATTGCAACAGGCAGACTTTCGGTGTGACCCAGCACAGCTTATCCTTTGTTCTGTCCTTCCTTATTACTCCAGCTGGCTCATTTCTGTGTTAGCTATTCTGGGGGGCTTTTCTGTGGTTATGGGATGTATGACAGTCCTGTGCCTGACCCCTCTTCAGCACACTTCCTCATCCCAGGGAGCTGCAACAGTGTGTTTGCCTCTCAATCCAGAGCAGCACTACGACAGGCACAGAAGTGATGCTGAATTAGCACTTGTATGGTGCAGGACACAGTTTGGCTTTCAGGCATTAACAGCCTTTTTCTTTTTTTCCTTAACTGGTGTGTGTTGAACAGGGAACACAGTGGCTCACAATGGCAGGATGTGTCAGGAAGGTGGGGCTGGAGCAGAGGGAAGCAACACAAGTGCAGAAGGGAAAGGTGTGGTGCTGTGGCGGAACAGTCTGTGATTTCACTGTAGGGTTAAGGTGAACTGATTGGAAGGCAGAGCTGCAAAGATTCATCTCCTGCCTCTTAGCCCTCAATGGCCTTTTGCCTGCACTCAGAGTCATGCTGGGCCAATGGAGAAGCCTGTGGGAAAGTGGCCACAGTCAGATCATCATACTGAGCAGCACCCTACAGTCAGACTGGCTTACACCATGTATGAAATCCCACCTCAGGCTTCTAATTTTCCACAAAAATGTCTGACTGTGTCCTTTGTGTGTCTGCATGGGGCTTACATCTACACTACTAACCTCTGGCTTCTTCTGGGGACTTGTTTTTCCTTAAAAATTTTGAGCAATTATTAGAAAAAGTTTAGAGACAAATGTGTGTACAGGAAACTGTCCTTCCACCTCAAATTAATTCTTCATCTTGCCCTTTGGATAAACAGTATTTCTGTGTTATGATCATTTTCTAGAGGATGAACTGACTTGAACTTCTCATTTATTTTGAACACAAAATGTCATCTTCAGTGGGCCAGGGAAAGCAAATGATGATGGCTTTGTCCTGAGGGGAAGAGTTCAGGCAGAGCGCCTGACTTGCAGCCCATATGGTTGCCTTCACTACTGGACTCACAGATACTCTGAGAAGAGACTGTGTGCCTCCTTGAGCTCCCTCTTCTTTTTTCCCTGCAGCTAAAACTGAAAAGTCTTGGGGAAAATGCCACAAAGCCTCATCATAATTTCCCAGTGAAATAGGGCACCGCTTCTGGACAGACTTAGAGTTAAATCTGTGGTTTCTCTATTTGTCATGAAATTTGGGCAGGAGAATAGTGAGGCTTGCACATTTTTTTGTAGCAGTAAGTGTGTGCTTAGCTGTGTTTTACAGTTCCTGGTGGTTTATGACTGATGTATTCTTGCCTTTGAAGGAAGAGGAGCTAATTGGAGACTTTCTTTCCTCCCTTTCCTTCTGGTTGAAAAGGCACAGATTTCCAAAGCACTGCACCCATCACAATTATGTCCTCTCTAAGCTCTTTCAGAAACTCTCTGCACTTAGTTTCACACAGTATCCTTCAAGGGGACAGCCATTCCACCACTGACTTTGGGGATCATGCTCTTCCAGAGCTCTTCTGAGTATCTGGTCTGGCAATTCCCCACCACTAGCCCCTCCTCCCTTTACTTCAGCTTCTTCTTGTCCCTTGCCCTTCCTTGGCTTGTGCCCAACACTCTGCAAAGAGCCCATGCTCTGTGCAGTGCATCCTTTTCAGGCACGCCCATGCTGCCTCTTTTTCCGAAGCCTGCAGAGAGGTGGCTACACAGAGAAGCACAAATCTCTCATTAGAACCTGCCCTGCCATTTCTGATGGCAGCACACACGGCAAGGAGGAAAGGAGGAGTCCTGCTTGTGGGAGGTTTTGAATTGACCCAGGTGAGGGAGGCAAACTGCTGACAGGGAAAGAGAGGCAGGGAGAAAATAAAGGTGGGACAGATGTAGAGGGGAAGGGAGGAAGGCTGAATTCTGCTGCTTCCCTGTATGATGACCAACCGCTCCTGTTGGTGACTGCCACTTCTTAGGCCTGCTCCCATATTATGGGTAAATCTCTTAGTGCAAGTCCCTGAAGTCCTGGGATGGGTGTGGATGGCTGCATGAAAGCATCTCTCAAGGAAGACGCCTACCTAAGCTGCTTTCCCTGGAGTCAGCAGTGCTGTGAGAGAATGATCTGTCCACTGGCCTGTAGCAGGGATGTTGTGTTGCATCTTCTCTTGCCAGGGAAACTTCTTAGAGGGGTTTGATCACCATGAAGCCCTTTCAGAAAACTGACAGCATTTGCTGATGCTGAGCTCATTCAACTGTGTGAGCCACGAGTTCTGTTGTGCACTGGTCTGATTTTTGTGCAGCATGTCAAATCAATTGGGGAGAAGAAATGCCAGGGCCTGCTTAAGACCGAGTTGCTGTATTATTTTTTTTACTCAGATGTTTTTTCTCCCTTTTATCTCGTCATTTTCTTAGATGTGTGGTGGGTGACTCTCCTATTTAAGGCTGATTGCGCTTTCAAAACAAAGCCTTCCTCGGTTGGAAATTGTCAGGGGTTACTCACAGGGGATGCTCAGGCCATTCCTACCTGAGCCCTTGGATATCCCAGACCAATAGCAGATGAAGGTGGGAGAATGGTTGACATTTCTGTGTGCAAAGCCAAGCTCTGAAGTGTTTCCCCCTTCACTGCCCAAGCAAGACTCTCAAGGAACACAAGGAAAATTCTCCCTGAATTAAAAATAAGTCAGCCAGGCCTATGGGATTCTGTAGCCAGAGTAAAGCTTTCCTATAGCTTCCTCACCAGAGTGGTGAAAAGCAGCCCAGGCTAATCTGTATCAGTCCTGCATGGAAACACAGAAGGCTCAGAGAGTAAAGCATTCCCAAACCTGGTGCTGAGCAAAAGTACAGACCCTGTTCCACTTTGCATGGAAATTCTGTGTCTCTGCCCTATTGTCCCCCTGGAAACTGCATGATTTTGCAGCATGCCTCACAGTTCTCTCTGAAAGGTGTTGGTAGCATTAAGGAAACCCAAATGAAATCTCAGTGAGCACCTAGTCACAAGTCTCCATAACTAGGAATAGCTGAGCAGACTAAAGAGGAGTCTTGAGTATCTCCTCTGGTTTTGTTGGTGGCAAATAACAAAACATCAAGGCTCAAGAGAAATAGTTTTCAGCTGGGGAAAAGGTAGGCAAGCAAGGGTCTTCAAGGGGCAGAAACATGCTGCTGGCAAAGGCTGGGTGCTCACACTGCTCTTTGCATTTTTCTTTCCTCTAGGAACTTCAGAGAAATCCTCATTTTGTTGTGGATGGAGTTAGCAGATTTGATATCATGCAAGGAGAAATAGGTACAGTCATATTCCTGTTTTGGAAAAGAGAGGCACAAAGCAAGATTGTTTTGCTGTGTTCTTAGTGCTCAGTGGGAAGACATGGACCATGGTAGCTGCAGTAAACAACTAGTGCAGGTCAATCTAGACTCACACAAGTCCACAGACAATGTATTGCAGATATTTAATAGCGTTCCTAAATGCTGCAGCTCTAATCCCTGTTACTTCTATATGGCACCTGCCCTCTGCGTAAGGACAGGCATAGAAAGGAAGGTGCAACAGAGCAGGAAAATGCTTCAAGTACAAGGGTCTTACATTTCTGGGGTAAGTAGCCACAGCTCCAACATGTGTAGGACTGAATTTTGTTTTCAACCTAATGTCTTCATCTGACTTGCAGTGTTTGCTTTCCTGTGGTTATTTCTGTCCATCTTCCCTGATACTAACCCAGACATGTGTCTGTACCCTGTACCACTTCCATCTTCTTCTCCTGGCCCATAACCATGTTTGCCTCTGGGAGCACCTCTTCTCCCATATAAAAAGAAAAGTCCTCCAATTTCTCACTCCACTGAGAGGTCTGAAGACTTTCTAGAAACTGTTCTAGACTGCAAGTCTCAACAAGACCACAAAATATAGGAGCATGAAAGTAGAAAAGGATGGCTGGGTGGCACCAAAGGACAATTCTGGTTATTACTGGGTAGTGGTTCAGAGGTGCTGGGGAGGAAAGAGAGACAGAAAAATGTTGGTTTCTTTTAACAAGCTTGTTCTTAGATGTCTTAGATGTTGAAGTCCACTCTCCTAAAGAGTTAGCTATGGTCCACAACAGTGAATAACTGACTGAATGCACTGGATTCTTTCCTCCCTTGAGGTGACTGCTGGATGCTGGCTGCCCTGGGCTCCCTGACACTGCAGAAGCAATTTTTGGAAAATGTTTTACCAAAGGACCAAGGATTCCAGGACAACTATGCTGGGATTTTTCATTTTAGGGTATGTATTCTCTGCTATGTTGATGCTGCTCAGGCTTGGCTGGCTGGATTATATGAGTCCATAATGCAGTCTGAGATCTTGACATCCTTGAATGTTTTGGTTCTTCAGTGCTGACTCCCCGTCCAGAATTTTTCAGAAAATGTCAGATTTTCTAATGATTCCTTGTATTCCAGGAGGTGCAAATACACTTCAGGGAATTTGAAGCCATTTTCTGAAACTTATGACTCCAGAGGTACAGATACCAGATGTTCAGATAGATTTGTGTACATGTATATATTTTAGATGGCATTTTGGTGCCTGTTTTGGTTTGGACAGTTTGCTATGGCTATCAATACACCCATGTTCTTTATCCATTGGGACTCGTTTTCTGTTTCCCCAAACACTTCACCTTTCCCTTTGAGCTTGAAATTACAAATCCTTGGAGACAGATCAGAGGAACAGGCTTGATACTTTGAAAGGAGATTTGTTTTGGAGGAGAGGAGAAAGACTTTTTAGTAAATCTCACTTTCTACAAATTCTTGAAATTCTTTGAATTTCTCACGAGGGTGCCTGGGATTGTAACAGTCAAGCCTTGCTTGCTTTTTGTCTGAGTGGACCAAATATCTGGTGGGATTAGAAGCACTTGGAGTACCATTAAGCCCCAGAAGCTAAAATGGATGTAGAGAGAATCGGTATGTACTCAGCTATTCATCATCCCCCCTTTTTTTTCCCAAGTGAGTTTTCTTATACACAATTCAGTACCAAGCAAAGAGCTCTGGCAGTGAGACTCCTTTGACCTTCTGGAGCTCTCATGGAGCAGCACTAGGAGGATTATTTTGCAGGCAGTCTAAATTTTGCTTTGTTCCTTTGCTTTTCAGAACACCAGATGTTTCTGTCTTGGCCCATTTCCAGCATGCAGAGGTGCACTGCATGAGATAAACCATCTGAAGGGATACCAGTCAGCTTAGAACACATTAAAAGGATGCAAGCTACATTGTCTTTCATGAGAGATTTGAAAAGATTAGTTAGGAGCAATCCTTAAATCTTAAGCAGTACAAACACCTTACAGTATTTGAAAATGTTTTCCCTGTCATCTCATCTGCAAATCAATGCAACTGTTTCTGGTTTTCCTTGAGCGATAAAGCCCTGAGAAAGCTACTCTGAATGGAAATGCTTCTTGGCAATGCCTTTCAATTATTTCATCAAAGATATTTTACTGCCATCCACAGGCTAAGCCACCAGTCCTCAGTTCAGTGAAGAATCACAAACAAGGCATATCGTATGCTAATATAAAAATTTTAGCTTATAACTTTTTTTTCACCTCTTTGGGTCTGAAGCATGTTGCCTCTCAGGAATACAAAGAGCTCCTCCAGTCTTCCTACACAACACCGGCTGTTCAGGAGTTAAGGGTGTTAAGCACTTCATTAGCTGTAGTTTAAGATGAGTGACATTTTTATCTAGGGAATATTTACAGTGGCCAGGAATTAAGTTACAGTTATGCCAGCAATTAAGCTAGTCCCATGTTTGTATAGGAATCACTTTCTCTGCCACAGGAACTCTGGTGCCTGTGAGGTACCTTGTGCCACACGTTCTGACAGTGGGCAGCAGCAGCTCAGCCTGGGAAAAAAACAGAAATATTCTGTGGGGTCTGCAGGAGGTTATGACACAATGCATCAACTCCAAACAGGGGGGCTCTGCCCTGAGTGTTAATGCCCCTGCTCTCAGGAGGAAACTGATGAAATCTTCAGTGGCCATAAGTGGTCACAACCTCAGTTTCAGGCCATATTCAAAAGGTGTCTTCTAACACCATGGAAAAGAAAGTGGTTGAAAGGCATGGAATTTCACCTTGCTCAGTTCCATAACTGGATTTTTCTAAGATCCATGCCAAGGGAGGAAATAAAAGAGGCAAACTGACCACACAGTATTACCCCTCTGACCAGTAGCACCCCAGGTATGTAGTTGTCATCTTGCAACGGCCCTTTTTTTTTTTTTCCCCCTCCTCTTCTAAGCCCATGAAAATAAAGTCCTGATTTAAAAGGGTCACCACAGATGAAGAAGCTAAGTAATTCCCTCTTTGCAGCCTGCCTAAATAAGTATTCTTTATTTCATTTACTGGCACATTCCCAGCTGCAGTACTTTAAATCTTCAGAGTATAAAATATTTCAGGAAGCTAGATTCTCAAGCCAAAAAGTGAAGACATTGTCCCTGTCTGAAAGCATATAGAGGAGAATGGTTTGTCCTATACCACTCCACCACTCCCTAGGTGTCCTACGACTTTCCATGAGGTTTCTTGTTCCCATTGTGGCTTTTGTTATCCCTGTGAGCTCAGATAAGACTATGATCTGAATGTCTGCGAGAGTCAGGACAAAGCAGCTTTCTTTATCCAGCTGAAGAAAAGTAAAGCGTTGCATTCGGAAAGCCTCCAAGCCTGAGCTCCCTACCAAAGATGACCAAGAAACTTGACTTTTGGAAAAATGTCACTCTGGGCTTGGACTGCATAAAACTCCACAGCTAGTTCCACATTGCTTTCCTTGTTTACCTGTTGTGTTTGCACATAAAGCACCATGGCAAGGTGTGGCTGGATGTCACGCCTTTACTCCATACAGACCTGCTGCCAGGTGCTGACTGGTGACAGAAGTCACTTAGGTGACTGAAAGAACAAATCCTTTTGGACTGTCCTTTTGCCTGCCTCTCCTTTGGACAGGGGACAGCCAGTGCAGGCTTTTCTTCAAATCTCGTTCTGCCAAAATCAAGAAGAAGCCTCAAAACACTCCCTGAGCTCAAGTTCAGGGAGTCCAACCCAGCTGCCACTAACGTAAGGAAGTGAGAGGCTGGGGTGAAGCAGAACGTAAGTAGGGTCAAACCTGCTTTGAGCTTAGCAGACTAAGCTGCTTTGCTGCTGGGCAGATCTGGTCTTGAGCTTTTCTAACAGAGCAGCTCATTTTGAGGCTTTTCATTGACCAAAGCTGTTGAAATAAAATCATGCTAGACTAAATCTATTGCTGGCATACTTCCACTGGAGTCCTTAGCATTACTGCAAATAAGAGCTTGGCCTCTTATGATTGCGAATCATGCTAAGCTACATTAATCTGCTAATGACTCTGGAAATGGCTCCTTTTGTTCA